CTGAGACAAAGCCAGCTGGACCCAGCTGGAGGACGCATTTCTGAACTGGCCCACCCTGGCTGTGCAGCACCAGGTGTCCTGTGGAGAGTGGGGCTTCCTGCAGGTGACACTGCACAGTGCCCTGGAGACTCGGGAGGTGGCAGGAGACATAAGCCCCCCAGGCTTCCCTGACCTGACCAGATCTCACCTGCATGGGTGGAGTGTGGCCACACAGGCAGAGGGCATCGCCCGGGAGAAGCTGCCCACTTACAGAGCAGACCCCAGGCTGGCGCCCCCCACACACAGCAAAGCAGTGTGATGGGCACCCCCTCCCCAAGTCTCAAACCCAGTTCCTGCAGCATGACTCCTGAACAAGAGCCTCGGTGACCCCCGACATCCCCGGAGAGCCCTGGCTCCTTTTGGCACCAAATCATCCCCTCTGTGCTGATTAAGCTGGCAAACCCACAGGATTCCACAAAGGAAATGCGCCCGAAATGACATCCACTCGCTCGAGAGGTCCAGCTTGGAGCAGCAGCTCCATCCCGCCAGCGAGGCTCAGCTGCCAGGACCCATGTGTACAGTGGGTGGCACTGAGCCACTACCTGGGACAGACCTCCAGGGCCTGTGTGGCCTTGCTGGGTTTTCAAAGGCAGCGGAGACCCCTTCTGCAGAAAGGCAGGCACCCTGAGGGGCAGGAGCCTGCTCACCTGCTGCCCCATGTCCCTAGGTGCCCCTTCTGCCACCTGCAAACCATCTCTCGCTGCCCTGGGCCAGCACCGCAGTCTTCTTTTAACTTTATTAATTTATTTACTTATTTTTTATTTTGACCAATGATGGACAGAACAAGAGAGCAAGGGAGCAAGAGAAAAAGTGAGAAAGCAAGCCACCAGGTCCGGACTCGAACTGCGCTCGGCCATGTGGGAGTCCAGAGCCCACCACACACCCAGCCTGCTGCCTGGGAGAGGATGCAGACACTGGAGTTCCTTTAGGAGGCTGGGTCTGTAGGTGGCGTCAACTTCTGTGTGCCTACCGCCAGGCCAGAACTGTCACCATCCCACTTAAGGCCAGGGTACTGAAAACAATCTAACGATGTACAGAGAAAAAGCGGGGGACAAGCACAAGTGTGGGGAGCCCCAGCTTTCTGGGCTGTGGTTACCCATTGTCCCAAGCTCCTATGTGGAAACCCCAACCCCCATGTGCTGGTATTTGCAGGTGGGGGCCCAGGAGGTTCATGGGTCCTGAGGTTGGAGCCCTATAGCAGGGTCTGAACCTACAAGAGACAGGAAAAATGGCCGTCCCCTGCCATATAAAGACTCAGACGGTGGCTGTCTGCGAATCAGACCTGCCTGCACCTTCTAGCCTGTAGAATCACCAGACAACTGCGAGCTCTTTAAACCACTCAGTCTGATACCTTATTAGAACCGCCTGGACCAAAACAGCTATTACTTCCTGATGTTTTTCTGAGACACAATTCTTCCTCCGAAAAATGAGGGTAATAGTCTCATTGTGTCATAGGAATGTGGACTAAGTAATAGCTGGCAAACGGAAGTCTACATGAGCCATGGTCATCACTGCCGTCACAGTTCCCTCTCACTGGCTGATAGCCTCGTGACAGATGCTCCTGCCCTGATTCCCACCAGGTAGCACTCTGCCTCTCACGAGGCTTGAATGTTTACTTAAGAAGTAGCACAAGTTTGTTCTACTAAGAGTTTTTTAGTCCCTTTTCTCTGGCTGGCAGTGCAGAGGCCACAGGAAGCCTGGAGTTCCTGGAAAGGATGTGAGCCAGCAGGAGTCCACTGGAGTCCTGGTGGCCTTCCTCAAAAAAGCCCGGAAAGCTGAAGTCCCTGAGCGGGTGGACTCTGTCAAGCTGGCCAGGCATGAAGAACTTGCCTCCTACAACGAGAATGAGCTGCTTCCATTGTGCGGCCCAGCCTCGGGGCGGGGCTGGGGTTGGCTCCATGACCAAGGCCCCTCCCTGCGGATGGCAGAGGAATGGCATCATACCAGCCACTCCAGCTGAGGCTCTGAGTGTGGCCTGCCAGGCCTGCCAAGCACTGGAAAAGGACCAGGATGGGGGCATGAATGGACAGCTAAGGGACAGAGAGATCTGGACAGAATGGCCAGGTAGGCGGCGGATGGCAAGGGAAGCGTCATGGCAGATGCTGGGTTAGCACATGGCCTCGCTCAGGAAAAGGTTTTCACTTAGTAAAAGAGCCATGATAATGCTTTAAATGAAAATAATAACATCTTTATACTAAAAACATTGAACTGTGGGGGCCAGCATGTGGCACGGCAGTTAAGGCAAGGAACTCCCACATGGCTGGCTGCAGTCTGAGTTCCAGACCTGGCGGCTTGCTTTCTCCCCACTCTCTGGTGAGCACACACGGCCTATAGCAAATTAATAATAAACAGAATTAAAAACAAGTAATTCTTTAAAAACAAAACAAATTAAATAGTGATTTATTTTCTTTTTTGGCTCACTCTCCATGGGTTTTCCTTTTTTCCTGATTAAAAAAATTTCTTTGTGTGAATTATACAGAGCAAGTGCACCGGAGGGTGCCCTTTGTAACTACTACAACCTCCGGCCACACTACCCTCACTGACTCTAGAAGAGTGACACCCCATTGGCTAACCCTTCATCCCTGTATCTCTGCTACATGCTAAGTCATTAAAGTATGCCAATATGGCTTCTGAGTATTTCCAGCAACAGTTAAAACAAGTGCTGTGTCCTGGGACCCCTTACTAGACAGACTCCTGCACCAGCCCTGAGAGTGTGCACCTCGTGCTCCCTGCAGTCACCCAGTAGCAGACTAAGACAAGCGATTAAAAACTGTTTTCCAACACAATAAACTCATATATCAATTCGTTCCAACATGTCTGGCCAGGAAGGACACAACAGTTTGAAAAGAGACCCTACCTGAGCAAGACGGATGCTTCCAACACTGAAGCAAGAACGAACACCAAACAGCGTACAATTTGAAGGAAGAGAGGGAAAATCATAGATGCTTCACAAGACATTTATGAGATAATGCCCCAAAGAAATCAGCAATATACTAATGGATAACTCGTTTTAAGAATTAAGATGGGGGACCAGCAGTTAACGTAATAGCTATGTCGCTGGGCTCCCATGTATTTGAGTCCCGGACTTGATGGCTTAAACTCACGCCAGGCGCGTGTGTGCACGTGCCCATGATCCAGAGAGGAGAATGGAGAAGGTATCCAGAAGAAAATAATTATTAAGACGGGCGGGCCAGAAGGTGGTTAAGGCGCTGGACTCCCACATGGTCGACCACAGTTCAAGTCCTGGACCTGGCTGGGGCTTGTTTTCTCATTGTCTCCCTCTTTCTCTCTGATGAATACACATGTCCTATGCCAGATTAAAATAATAATAAATAAAATTAAATAATGCTTAAAAAAATTAAGATGGACTTTCCCTATCTGTTCCAAGCCCACTGGCCTTTCCCCGTGGACCACCTTCACGTCGTTCCGTGAGTTTCAGATGTTCCCTAGCTTGTCTTCTGCTTGTGTACATTGGTCGTTAAAACGTGCGTGCACTCGGGACGAGCGGACGGCAGCAGGGTCCGGCGCCGGCCTCCCCGTAGCGGCCCTGGGTTCCAGGCCCGGCCGTGCGGCGTGAAGTTCCCGCAGAGGCGTGGGCGTGCGGGGGCGCCCCCAGCACGGAAGAGGGGCTGCGGCGTGCCCCCAGCACGGGAGTTTTCGCTTCCGGTCTCTGGCGAGCGCACGCGGCCCTAGCAAAAATATTCCCCACCCGCCAAATAAAAACCAACGCCCTGCTCCGACTTCCGACCGAGTCTCCCGAGGTTCGCGCAGCCGCTGGAAGCGCGCAGCGCCCTCGCGCGAGATCCAGCATCCCCGGCCTGTCCACCCTCGCATCCCTAACTGCTGGCGCCGGACTGGCCACGTGGAGAGGAATTCCGGCCAGTCCTGTCGGCGCTGGCCGCGGTGCGCGGCCTGCGACTCCGCGGCTCCGGAGCGCGCGCCCAACCCCGCGCCGCCCGGGGGCATTGCCGGGCCGGGAGCACCGAGACGAGGGAGGTGGCCGGCGAGCTCCGGCACAACCGCCCGCGGCCGGGG